CATAGAAAAAAAGAGGGAAAAAATACACTGACTTTCAACAGGAGACAACACTATTTCATGGAATCAAGCAAAAACGTTTTTTTATGCCAGATATATGAGCAAACTTGAATTCCTACTGAGTGAAAAGCTGGTTTGCAAATTAAGTTTTCCCCTTTAACTGGTATGATAAGCAAAGTAAAGCCTCCAACCAGACAATGTTAAGATACATATCGATTTGAATGGTAAATTTAGCCAATAAATCACTTTATATTTAGTAGCTAGCTACCACAAAAAAATGAAGAACTTGGAACTGATAGAAACTCAAAGGGTCTAAACTTTACATAATTTTGAACATTAGGATGAAAGATTGGAGTGAGAGATTTTTCAAACACAATAAAGTATTTTTACACTGCCACTAGGTNGTACAGCACCTTGTACATTTATTTCTAAAAAAAAGGTGTTATTTTACTTACTTTTAATAAGGGTTTTTATTATTGGGAAAATATTTTAATGTGGTTTCCTATGCTCTAAACTCATGTTGTATTAGCTTTTAGCTTCATTATTAGTAATCAGCTTTTTGATTCGTTTGTTGAACAATGTATTATAATTAATGTTGTTATTTTTATTTTTTCTTTCTTTTCTCCTCTTCCTTTTTTCTGTATATGCATTTGTGTGCAAGTGGAAATATGTGTGAACCTGGAACTGCTGAACTGAATTGCCCTTGAGGATAAATAAAGTTGTCTGAATCTGAATGAATCTTTTATTTAAGAACATTGAGTTTATGACTGCCTAATGAAATGTTATAGAATTAAACTTGGTTTGGCTGTAAGCAGACAAAACTTAGGAGGTGAACCCTGTCCACCATAAATTATTCAAATGTTACCTCTATGTTGTCCTGTCCATAGAGCTCGGTTGCTTTCTCCTCTGACAGTCCACAGGCGCCATACTCCAGTGGGGTAAAGACTGTGGTGGGAACATTGATGTAGTCGCACTGTGCAAAAATAAATAAATAAATAAATAAATAAATAAATAAATAAATAAATAAATAAATAAATAAATAGGTATTTATATCTGTTGTCACATTAATAATTTAATAAAATAATAAAAGTTGTCAATATAGCAGCAGACTATTGAACACATTTGCAGGAGCAACCTTGACAGTTGATCCAGCATAGAGGCGACGAGCCAGCAGCTTCCCAGCCTGAATGGCAACAGGTGTCAGCTCCCACTTGTCCTCCAGAATGTCTCCAACGGCATAAATGTGTGGCACATTGGTCTGCTCCTCATCATTCACAGGAATCTTTCCATTTCTAGAATAAGGCATTGACAGGTCAGCAATAATAAAAAATAAATAAAATCACTGCAGCTTAGTTATTCTTTCTTATGCTTAAATGATCTTTTCCACCCTTTTCAGAATTCAACAATTGAAATACCGTATTTTCGGACTATAAGCTGCAACTTTTTTCCTGAACTTTGAACCATGCGGCTTATAGACCGGTGCGGCTTATACG